GCAGGGCTCCTCTGGGGCATCCCCAGCCCAGTTCAGGATCGCTTCCACGGAAGGGCTCTCGGTTGGCTCAAGAGGAGAGCCAAGGGGAAAAACGGCAGCCCTCGGGCAGTCGTGGGGCACCCGCCCTCTCCCCAGAGGTTTCCAAAGTCAAAGCAGGGGTGACAGTTAATCCCTAACAGTGGGATGTGCAGAAGAATCCCTAGGCAAGAGCCTGGCCCTGCGGCCATTCAGGAAACGAAAATACTCTGTGTGTGCGTGCGTGCGTGCGTGCAGAACAGGCCCTGGTCTGAAACCTGGACAGTTTGTCTCTGTCCAGCCACTTTGACCATCAGTTACTTTCTCTGAGGCAAGTCAACACGCGCGGCTCGACAAAAGCAGAGGTTTTGTTTGTTCCCAGGCAAGATGAAGGGACCTCTCTCACCGTGGGGCTCCGGGAGGAGGAGGCGGCGGCTGGGGCTGTTTTCTCGGCAGCCTCCCACGGCCTGCCTGGCATTGGGGCCTCTGCCCCTGGTGCCAGGTGGGTCTTGAGCAGGGATCGCACCCTTGGGCTGGATGGCGCCACGGCGGGCGGAGCGAAGGGAGGCTTGGGAGCGTCTCCTGGGACGGGAGGAACTGAAAGCGGGGCCCATTTGCTCTCAGCTTTCTCAGCAGGCCAGGCTCCTCCTTTGGCTCGCCCGATGCCAGCTGGCCAGGCCAGGCCGGGAGCCCTGCTGGCTCTCCAGCCTTTGCTTTGCGCTTCTGGGCGGGGAGGTGCCCCTCCACCCGCTGTCAAGAGAGGCTTTAGGGTTGGGTTTCTCCTCACTCGGTCTTTCCTGGTTTTGCAGGCCAGCCACAGCGAGGCCCAAACCATGGGAGGGAGGGGCCGGAACGCCCTCGGAAAGGAGCCTTCCGCCTCCAAGGAAACCCTGGGATGGAGGGACGCGTCGAGCCAAGGCAGGAAAGGAACGCCGGCTCGGGCAGAGTCATCATCCCAGAGGGCGGACAAGATGGCAGGAGAAGAAGCCAGGATCGTGCCAGGCGGCTGGAGCGGGAGCCTGGGGCTGAAGCCGGACACCGCCGGGGTTTCCTCAGGCTCGGAGAGAACCGCAGCCACAGCTGCCAGTGGGGACCAGGACGCGGCGGGGATGCCCAGAAGCCGCCTGCGCGCCCACCCCAGAGGATCGGGCCGGCGTTCTTGGAGGGTCTCCTTGAGAAGGAGCCCTCCGAGGTGGCCATCACGCTTGCCTCCAGCACGGGCCTGAAGGAGGCGCTGTCCCAGACGGCCATGGGGCCCCGATTCCTGCAGCTCCTTTGCCAGGTTCTGCGCAGGACCTGCTGCTCCCGGATGGACCGGAAGAGCATCCAGCAGGTCCTGGGGCTGGTGAAGGAGTCCAGCTTCCTCCAGATCTGCCTGCCCCGGTACGTGACCGCCATGCTGACCGAGGCCGTGCCGGCCGTGCGCCACCAGTTCCCGGAGCACATGGGCAGCATCCTCGCCCTGGTCCAGGAGCTGGTGAGCATCTTCCCCGCCAGCTCCATCCGCCAGGTGACCCTGCTGATGTCCCTCTTGCCGGCCTCGGTCAACGCCCTGCGAGCCTCCGGCGTGGACTTCCCGGAGGAGACAGAGAAGACCCTGGAGAATCTCCAGGGCTACATCCGGCACCTGCAGGAGAGGCGGCGGGAGGGCACCCTGCGGGTCGACAGCCACACCCTGGTGCCGGCATCCCCGGGAGAGCGGGGGGAGGACGGGGAGGAGGAGCGGGAGGACTACCGCACCCTCTCCATCTTTCCCACCTACGAGGAGGTGCACCAGGAGAAGAAGCCCCTGCTGCGCCCCAACCTCGTGGCCCAGCCCTACGAGAGCCCGGCCGTCTACCTGGACACCCACTTCCGGCTTCTGCGGGAAGACTTTGTCCGGCCCCTCCGGGAGGGAATCCTGCAGCTCCTCCTGCGTTCCGAAGACCAGGGCCTGAGACGGCTGAAATTCGATGACATTCGGGTTTACTTTGACACCCGGATCCTCAGCCCTCTTTGCTCCGTGAATGGCATTGAGTACAAGGTGCAATTTGACACCAAGCCCCTGAAGTTTGTGCGTTGGGAGAACTCGAAGCGCCTGCTCTATGGCTCTCTGGTCTGCCTGTCCAAAGACCACTTTGAGACCTTCCTCTTTGCCACCATCGCCCAGCGGGAAGGCCAGGACCTGCGGAAGGGCCTCGTGCACCTTGCCTTCAGCGAGCGCAGCCGGCCCCTCCTGGCCGAGGTCCAGCCCACCGACGCCTTCCTCATGGTGGAGACCACGGCCTACTTCGAGGCCTACCGGCACGTCCTGCAGGCGCTGCAAGAGATGCGGCACCAGGAGGTCCCCTTCCAGAAGTACATTGTCCGCTGCGAGGCGCAGGTGACGGAGCCGGAGTACCTGGCACGGGGCGGCGGTGGCGGCTACGACCTCAGCTGCCTGCTGCAAAAGCCGGGGCCCCGGCAGCGGCAGGAGGAGGTGGCTGCCGCTCCAGAGCCCCTCAGGGGTCTTGGAAGGAGTCCCAAGATTGACATCCTTGACCCCCAGCAGTGGCCCACAGAGGAGGCCTTGGGCTTGGATGAGTCCCAGCTGCAGGCCCTCCGGCTGGCTCTGACCAAGGAGCTGGCCATCATCCAGGGGCCTCCCGGCACAGGTGAGACCTGCGATGCTCTCCTCTTGGCATCAGGGCTGGGAAGGCAGGGAAAGGCCAGCTGCTGAAGGACGTGGCCTGTCTGAGTTGGGGCCCAGGCAGGGCAGGAGAGGGGCTGCATTGGGGCTCTGAGAGCGAGTGCCCCCCCACCGCAGCTCTGAGCCCTGCTGTAGGAGAGGGAGGGAGCAAAGCTGGGGCTCCGTGCGGGGGGGGGAGGGAGGGAGCAGGAGCGCCTTCTGCCGGCGCGACGTGACGGAGCCTGTACCTCCTCTGGGCAGGGAAGACCTACGTTGGACTGAAGGTCATGGAGGTCTTGCTGAACAACCCAGCTCTCCGTGGGAGGTCTCCCATCCTTGTCGTGTGCTACACCAACCACGCTCTGGACCAGTTTCTCGAAGGTGGGTGGAGGCCTGGGCTTGCCTGGCCCCTCACTCCAGCGGCACCCGTCTCCAAGGCATCCCTGGGTTGGCAGGCAAAACCCTGCCTTCCTGGAAGTGGGGAAGATTGCCCTGGGAAGCCGGGAGCGGGGCCTTTCGCTTCAGACTCCCCACGTTCTCCTCTCTAGGGATCCACACCTTCCTGACGAGGGGGATTGTGCGCGTAGGAGGAAGAAGCAACAGCGAGAGCTTGAAACAGTTCACGCTACGGGAACTTCGGAACAAACGTGACATTCGGAAATGGCTGCCAGGCCACCTTCGACAGGCGTATGCCAATGTAAGTACCCAGAAGGACAACTGAAGTGCCACAGAAATAAGTGGGCATTGTCCTGGATCCAGGTGTTGGTGGAGGGGATCACATAGGCAGCCGCTGCCCCGAGCGGTGTGGGCTCCAAGGGATGCTGCTGTGTTTCACTTAAGACGCAGGCCAGATGCAAGCAACCGAGCTCAGGGAACAGAAGGGACCGGCGGCGGGAGGGGTGTGTGTGCATCATGCACAGGTGTGCGTGCCAGGGGGGCAGAGCATACATCCCAAATTCAGGCCCACATTCTTGGCAGCAGCCCATCGCTGCTCCTGGGGCAAGGCCGCTTTGCGCCGGGGGGGGAGCTCCCCTGTGACTCGCTCTCAAAATCAGTGCCAGGGCTGCTGGGGGGGGGAGGGCATGTCATGCCTTAGCAACCTTTACTGGTGGAGTAGAAGGGGCCAGATCAAGGGGAGGGAATACGGCACCTTGAGGTCCAGGTTGCCTGCAGGTAAGGAAGAAGCCAGGCAAGGCTCTGGCAGCGGGGGAAACCGTCTGCCTCCTGCAAGAGCCGGCACAGGTCCGGAGGGGGCAGGAACCAGCTGTCCAAGTGACTGTCTTTCTCCCTCTGAGGGCAGGTGTCTGGAGAGATGCGGGAAGCGCAAGTCAGTCTGGAACAATGGGGGGCCCAGCTGGAGTGCAGCCTCCGAGGGATCCTACACGAGCGCCACCTGAAGAGCCATGTGGCCGACGGACACTGGGAGAGTCTCGTGCGTGGCTGCGTAAGTGAGGAGGAGAGGGGCCCGCCTCCTGCAAGCGAGTGCCCCTGGAGGGGGGGAGCTGGGAGAAGCCACACACACACACACACACCCTCTCCCTGTGCCTTGAGCTTCAGCCCCTTCCTCGTAAATGCTCGCAGGGAGGCCAAGGGAGCAGCCCAGAACGAGTGGCCTGAGCCACGAGGAGGCCAGGAGGGGCCCCCTGCGCCCCTCCTCTTTCCCGCCCTCCTCCTCCGCTGAGGCTTCGGGGTTGCTCCCACAGCTCTGGGGCCTCAGCAGCTGAACTGAGACCCACCTGGGCCGAAGCCACGGGGGGGGGGGCTGACAGCAGCGAGAAGCGTAGGGTGGAGGCCTCCGGTTGCAGTTCCCTGGATTTTCTTTTCTGAAGTGCAAGGAGGGGCTTCTCTCGGAGAATACGACTCCTTCAGCCCCCCCTCTTGTAGAGGGGCATGGCGGACATGTATTTGCAAGGCAGGCCTTGAACCTCACGAGGGGGAGAGGCTGGCCCTGTTCAGCAAATGCCCCCCCCCCGGCCTTTCCCCCTTTCGTGGCACCCGCTGGGCAACCTGGCCTGGCGCTCCTGAGGCAAGTGAGGGGGGGGGGTCGCCCCGGCTCCCTGCTCGGTGAACCTGCCTGAGCTGTCCTTTGTTGTTTCAGGCCAGGGAATGGATGAACCCCAAGGACTCCCTGATCCTGGAGTGGCTGGGCCTGAGTGCCTCGTCCTTCGGCCAGAGTGACCCCGATGGAGACGAGGCGTCGCCTGCTGGTAAGAGGCTCCCCGTCTCCCCGCCCTGGTTTGGTGGGAGGCAGGAGGGGCTGCCCACCCTTGCTGTGGCAGCAGCTGCCCTGCCCTGCCTCGCTCTGGGTGGGGGGGGGGGGAAGCCATGCAGGCTGGCTGCAAGGGGACCTGGGCCGCTTCAAGCACACCTTAACTGTGGGGGGGGGCGCTCTGGGCCTTTGCAGACTCTCAAGAGGAAGAGGAAGAGGCAGCCTTGCTGCAGATCGCAGGGGAGGCGGAGCTGATTGAGGCTGAGCGGCTGCTTGACCAGGACGAGGAAGGGCGTGCGCGCTCTCGGAGGCGGTTGCGGGACTGGGAAAGGGCTCAGCTGGACGACCTCTTTCTGGCAATGACTCTGGCAGACAAGGAAGGGGGGGAGGAGGAAGAGGAAAACCCAGACAGCCCCCACTGGGAGGTACCTGTTTGTTGCTGCTGCTGCTTTCTCCCCCCCCCCACTTGCATATTGGGGGAAAGGAGGGTTAGGGTTCAGCAGGCCCAGCCCACGGGGGCCAAAGGGCAGGAAGCCCAAGCCAGGCAGAATCTGACCCTTCTGACTCTGCTGGGCCAGCAGGGGGAGGGCCAGCCACTCCTTTGACTCTTCTTGTGCCTCCGGTTGCAGTTCCAGCGCCACCAGAAGAAGGCCATGAAGCAGCGGATGAAGGCCGAGCTGCAGAAGCGACAGGCGATGACTGAGGCAGAGGCTTCGGATGTCAGGGATGTGTGGCATCTGGACCGGGGTTCCCGCTGGCAGCTGTACAGGTAGGGCATCCTCTGCTCCCCTGCCCTCAGGCTGGGACAGAGGCCCCCGGGGCCGTCCTGCCACCAGCCCTCCTCCCCTAGCTCCTCCTCCTCCCTCTCAGGTACTGGCTGCAGAAGTACCAGGCAGAGATCCGGCGGAGGATCCTGGAGCACGAGGAGGTGTACCAGGGAGCAGCAGACCGGCTGGCGGAGCTGCGGCTGCAAGAGGACCTGCTGATCCTGCAGGAGGCCCAGGTGGTGGGGATGACCACCACAGGTGAGGAGGAGGAGGAGGAAAAATGGGAAGTGTGTGTGTGTGTGTGTGTGTATGTGTGTTGGGGGGGCGGCCAAAGGAGCCCTGTCGTGTCCCGGGAAGGCACGTGCCTGTTTCCTGCTGTTCGAGCGGGTCTTTCTGTCTCCTGCCAGGAGCCGCTCGGTACCGGCAGGTCCTGCAGCAGGTGGCCCCTCAGGTGGTGGTGGTGGAGGAGGCGGCCGAAGTCCTGGAGGCTCACACGGTCACCACCCTCAGCAGCGCCTGCCAACACCTCATCCTCATTGGGGACCACCAGCAGGTAAGGGGGCGGGGGAGGGTGGGGCCGAGCCGGGCCAGCCTTTTGCCTCCTTGGCACCCCCTCCTTGGCAGCTTTCTCACCGCTGGGGTGTCTTGCAGCTGCGGCCCAGCGCCAACGTCTTTGACCTGGCCCGAAACTTCAACCTGGAGGTCTCCCTCTTCGAGCGGATGGTGAAAGTCGGCCTCCCTTTTGTCCGGCTCAATTTCCAGGTGAGCGTCGACCGCGGCTGCGACGGCTGCCTTGTGGTTCCTCCTCCTTCAGGGCGCTGGGGCAGAACGTCTTTGGCCAGAAGACCGGGGTGAGGGTGGAGGTGTTTCCTGTGTGTGGATGATGATTCTGCTGGTACCCCTACTGCCCAACAACTGGGGTGTCTCGTGCGGGCCCCGGTGACCCTTCCTTTCCTCATGAGCCTCTCTCTCTTGGCGCTGCAGCACCGCATGCGGCCAGAGATTGCCCGTCTCCTCACGCCGCACATCTACCAGGACCTGGAGAACCACCCATCTGTGCTCCAGTACGAAAACATCAAGGTGCGTTTCCTCGGGCCGCTTTTTCTCTTCCCCTTCCAGGCCTTGGGCTGAGCTGCTGGGCTTCTCGGCTTCTCTGGTGGCCAGCTCGTCCTGCATCAGCAGCACCCCTCCCTCCCTCCCTCCCTCCCTCCTCTGCTGTGGCCTGGCTGTGCCTGAAGGAGGCAGCCGGCTCCTTGCCTTAAGGAAGGGGGACAGGGGCGCGCCCCCCTTTTTATCTCCTCCCTTTCCTTTTCCTTTTTTGGAAATTTTTATTTGAAGTTCACACCGAGAGAACAAGCAGTTGAAAAACTAACAGCTTGCCTGCAACACGGGAGGCTCAGGAGAGCCTTTTTGAGTTGGAGGGTCAGTAGTGGCTGCCAGCCTTGGTAGCAGCCATCAAGGTGTCTGTGCAGATGCTCAGTCCTTCAGGTGAGGTTATCTGGCAGGCAAGTCCTTGGCCACTGGACGTCTTTCTTGACAGGTTGAAACCTTCCGCTGCTTCTTCAGTCTGAGGAGAGTTGGTAGGAGACCCCTGATATCTTCTCCTCCACCTTGGTTTCCCTTCCCCCTTCACTCACACAAACACACACACACACACACGTTATCCATCTAAGGAGCCTAGTCAGAGCAGGGAGAAGTGAAATTCCACTAAGAAGGAACGTAAGACCAAAGCTCTCCACATCCCCTCCAGCGTTTGGGCTGTAGATGTTGATATAACGTAGTTACAGCAGCATGCAATACCACTGATGTTTTAAATGCGGTTTGTACTTAGGGCGATAAGAGAGACGGGTCTAAAAAGCACATTTTTCAAAAATGGTGTCCTCAGAGATGATCTGTACCGAGGCCTCCTCCATGCGAATTCAGGGCCAGTTGAGTTCCCCTGCTGGCTGTTACTTAATCGTTCATAGGGTTGGGGGGCTGCAGCGTTGCCAGAAAGAAAAACATCAGAAACAATTGATTCTTCAGTGGGGATTAGCGAACGAGCAGAGCGTTTTCTGCATTTGGGATGGAAACGGATCGAGTGGCCGTTGAAACCCCGAGGCTCCCCCCACCCAGCCTCACTTCCCCCGTGCTTTTTAAGCAGGACCCCTTTTTTTCCAGTGGCTGGCTGCCAGGCAGATCCCACGGGCGAAATCTCAGCGGCTCCCTCTTTTCCTCCCAGGGCGTCTCGTCCAACCTTTTCTTCGTGGAGCACAGCTGCTTGGAGCAGGAGATCCAAGAAGGGAAGAGCCACCAGAACCTCCACGAGGCCCAGTTTGTGGTGGAGCTGTGCCGATACCTGTTGCACCAGGGCTACGCGCCCTCCCAGATCACCATCCTCACCACCTACACGGGGCAGCTGTACTGCCTGCGGAAACTCCTGCCCGCCAAGACCTTCCAGGGGGTGAAGGTCCACGTGGTGGACAAGTACCAGGGGGAGGAGAACGACCTCATCCTCCTCTCCTTGGTGCGGAGCAACGCGGAGGGGCGGGTGGGCTTCCTGCAGATCCCCAACCGTGTCTGCGTGGCCCTTTCCAGGGCCAGGAAGGGCCTCTACTGCATCGGCAACATGGCCATGCTGGGCAAGGTCCCTCTCTGGAGCAAGATCCTCCACGTCCTGAGGGGGAAGGGCCAGGTCGGCCCGGCACTGTGGCTGTCGTGCCAGAACCACCCCGAGACCAAGACGGACGTCGCCCAGCCCAAGGACTTCCAGAAGGTGCCCGAGGGCGGCTGCAGTCGCCCCTGCGAGGCCCGGCTCAGCTGCGGCCACGTCTGCCCACGGGCGTGCCACCCCTATGACCCTGAGCACAAGGAGATGCAGTGCCTGAAGCCGTGCCAGAAAGTGTTGTGCCCAGAAGGGCACCGCTGCCCTTGGCAGTGCTTCAAGCCGTGCGGAAAGTGCCAGGTGAAGGTGCCCAAGACCCTGCCCACGTGTGGCCACCAGCAGGAGGTCCCCTGCTCCGTGCCTGCGGAGGCCTTTTGCTGCCAGGAGCCCTGTGAGAAAGTCCTGCGGTGCGGCCACCGCTGCCGCCAGACCTGCGGCCAGGAATGCACCCGCCGCTGCCAAGAAACGGTCCAGGCGGCCCTGCCGTGCGGGCACCGCCAGAAGGTCCCCTGCGCCACCGCTGCAGACCTTCGAGATGGGAGGCCTGTGCCGTGCTGGGAGAAATGCCCCGGCGCCCTGGAGTGTGGCCACCCGTGTCCAGGCTCCTGCCACGCCTGCTTTGGCGGCCGCTTCCACAAGCTGTGCCGAAGCCCGTGCGAGCGCCTCTTGATCTGCTCCCACAAGTGCCAGCAGGCCTGCACCAGCGACTGCCCGCCCTGCCCACTGCCCTGCCAGAACCGCTGCGTCCACAGCCGCTGCCTGAAGACCTGCGGGGAGGCCTGCACCCCCTGCACGGAGCCGTGCGAATGGCGCTGCCGGCACTACCAGTGCAGCCGGCTGTGTTCGGAGCCTTGCGACCGGCCACGCTGCGACAGGCCGTGCCCGGAGCGCCTTCCGTGTGGGCACCCGTGCGCAGGGATCTGCGGGGAGCCGTGCCCCAAGAAGTGCCTCGTCTGTGACCACGAAGAGCTGACACAGATCTTCTTTGGCTTTGAAGATGAACCTGGGGCGCGGTTTGTCCAGTTGGAGGACTGCGGCCACGTCTTTGAGGCCCAGGGCCTGGACTGCTACATGGAGGATGGAGAAGACGACGACGACGGGGCGGCCATCCGGCTGAAGGTCTGCCCCAGCTGCCAGACGCCCATCCGGAAGAACCTGCGCTATGGAACTCTGGTGAAGAAGAGGCTGTCCGAGGTGGAGGCGGTGAAGGAGAAGATCCGAGGCCACCCGGCAGAAATTGCCGCCCGAGCACAGGGGCTGAAGGCCGAGCTGAAGGGGAAAGCGGGCCTGAGGGCCTCTCTGCTTGAAGAGTACCTACAGCTGCTGCAGAGGCTGGGGGAACCGTCCCTCTCCCTCCAGAGCCTGGCCCTCACAGAGCACCTCATGGGCTTCTATGGGCGGCTGGCCGAGTTGGAAGGCGCCCTGAAGAAGGTGGCGCCCGCTGAGATGGCAGGGCCAAGGGCGCGCATGGCGGAGGTGGCAGGCTGGCTGAAAAGGCCCCGCCTCAGCTTCACCAGCCAGGAGCTGTCGGAGCTTCAGAGCGAATTCCAGCGCTTGACTTACCTGGTGGATCTCCTGGCCAGGTGCAAGGCGGCTGGAGGGAACAGGGGCGCCTCCACGGAGGAGCTCATCAGCACCGCCCGGAAGCTGCTAGAGGGGCCTGGCAGGTTCACCCCAGAAGAGGAGGAGCTGGTGAAAGCCAAGATGGAGGCTCTGAAGGCCGTCCTGCCGCCGGCCTCTGGGCTGGGCATCTCTGAGGAAGAGAGGAAGCAGATAGTCGCGGCCATCACGCCAAACACCCGCGGCCACTGGTTCAAGTGCCCCAATGGCCACGTCTACGTGATTGGCGAGTGTGGAGGGGCCATGCAGAAGAGCCGCTGCCCGGAGTGCCAGGAAACCATTGGTGGTGAAAATCACGCCCTGGATCCCAGCAACCGACTTGCCCCCGAGATGGACGGGGCAACTCACGCGGCCTGGTCCGATGCGGCCAACCACCTCCTCGAAGCGGCCCGGTTGCAGTGGCGCTTTTGAGAAGGCTCTGCTTGGCCCTCTTGGGCTCACCGGCTCTTCTCCCCCAGGAGGTGACCCCGGCCCTTCTCTGTTCCTGCACGCATGACTTTCGGCTCCCTTGCACGTTGGCTCCCTTCTCAGAAGGAACTGGTCTACTCGAATCACCCGACAAAGCCAGCAGGGACGGCTGAGGGGCCTCACGCCGAGAGAGGCCCGGAAAGAAAGAACAAGTAACTGGGCCTTCTCGGCAGTGGCCCCTCGGCTGGGGAATAATCTACCAAGAGCAATCCGCTTGGCTCCCTCGCTAGGTCTTTTTAAAAGCCATTTAAAAACTTGGCTCTTTAGGCAGGCCTTCCCTCCAGTCAATTAACTGTTTCGTTTCTTTAATTTCCCATCTTGATAATGTATATATCCACTAGTTAGTTGCTTGTATTATTAGGTTTTAGTAACTGTATTATTCTATTGTATTTTATCATTTTTTGTAAGCTGGCCCGAGTAGACTTTGTCTAGAGGGGCGGGGTATGAATCTAAATAAAGAGAAATAAAGAGAAAAGAAGAAAGGGAACATGCATGAATCAGTCGCAGGAGAGATGAGAGGGTTTCGGGCAGATTAGGGGGATAGCAAAGCTTTCTCACTTTTATGCTCCTAAGAGTCTGTCGTCAGCTGGCATGCAGCATCCTGGCCATGCCCTTGGCAGTGAAATGCTTGGGAGGGTCCCTCGGACTCTCTCGCTTTCTCTCACAGCTTCAGAACGCAGGGCGGGAGAGGCAACCCCTCCTGTAGGAGCTGCTTCTGAGCCCAAGGCGGCTGCCCCTGGTGCTGAATGGCAGCCAAGACCACAGACTTAAGACCCGTAGAAGCCACGATCTGGACTAGTAGCAGTCTTATTGGCCGAGTGTCACGAAACTGGAAAATGACGGTTCCTGATGATGGTTCCAGACACCTTTGAAACTCAGCCTGCTAGCATGTGCTGGGATGGGTTGGCCGCAAGAGAGGGGGAAGAGACGGCCTGTTAATGGGAAGGGTTTGCCAGCTGTGTCTTCTCTGCGTGAGGAGGAATTTCCGAAGGCCATCACTCACTCACTCCTGGTACCAGCTCATTAAGAGGAACCAGTTTCAGCTCTAGGGAAAGGAAGGAGAAGGAGTTAAGTTACTTTTGGGGAAAGTTCCTTCTAGAACATTGAAAAGGTCTGGAAAGGTGGCCAATGGGTATAAAAATTGAAATGGGAATTTGCTTTCTTTAGCCTAGTTTCTGTGAGGGGAGTGTTATGCTTACCTGCTGCCCTGCTACTTGACTTACACTTGGCATAAGCTCTGGAAGCAGCCTAGGATAGTTAGTTCTCTCATATTCTATGGGAATGGTTCTGGAACTACCCGTTGTGACAAACCCAGACCTACTGGGATATGTCACACAGTTACACTAAGCTGCCACCAACCATTCCCTGTAAGAAGTCACACAGACCAGGGATGGATTTTCAAACAAATAAGGAATAAGGTTTATTTAAATACACACATGGAAAAATAAAACGATCAGGTGAATAAAATAAAGTAACGTGGCTTATTCTCATTCATACAAGCATACAGTTTGGTTCACACAGAACCCTTAACTTGAAGCACAGACCCTGAACCTATCAGTTCTGGCTAACCAACAGACACCTGAACCTATCAGGTTGGTACTCTGACACACAGAAGTACCCTGTCTGACACACAGACTCCCACAACAGCTTCTTCTTCCCAGCTGCTGCCTTTACAGCTGGATAGCTCAGTAGTTTAGGAATCTAACCCCAGAGCCTGCGGTTGGGAGTTTGATTCTCCCTTGCACCTGCTGTGATGAGAGCCAATCTCTGTGGCCTTGAGTACATGGTGCAGCCCCAGAGCATGTACAGCAATGGAATCAATTACCTTGGGAGGTGATGAGTGTTCCAGCCCTGGAGGCATTCGAGATAAATTTGGACAACCACGTGGCGGGTAACCTTTGATTTGTTTTCCTGCATTGATCAGGGGGTTGGACTCAATAGCCTTACAGGCACCTTCCAACTTCATGATTCTATGATCCTCGGACCTGGAAAACCCTGAAAAGGGTCACCATAAGTCAAAATTGACTTGATAACAGATTATTATTATTTGCTTGACAGCTTTTTGATTGCTTTGTACTTTTTGGAACTACATTTTTGGAAACAGTTTATTTTTTTTCTTTTTTGCAACATCTCTAATAAAATAATTTTAACAATTTACTAGTGGCATCCTTCAATCTTGAGAGACTATGGTAATGTGCTCTGATTTGGAACAGCGCCTAGTGTGGCTGAGAAGGCCAATTCGAGAGTGACCATCCCTTCCACACTGAAGACAAATCCAATCTGTCCCCTGTACAGCTCCCTGGTTTGGCTGGTTTTGGGATGGCCTCTTGGCCTGCTGGACAAGGGTCTCTTCAGAATGGGAGAGGCCATGATGCACCACCTGCCTCCAGGCTGAACCTTCAGAGGTCACGGTTTCCCATCCATTGAGGTCCATTCCTAAGGCCTTGAGATCTTGCTTGCAGATCTTGTATCACAGCTGTGTGGTCTCCCTCTGGGGCGAATTCCCTGCACTAATTCTCCATACAGGAGATCCTTTGGAATCCAACCATCAGCCATTCTTACAACATGCCGAAGCCAACGTAGAGGGTGCTGTTTCAGTAATGTACTGTATACATGCTAACATTTACAGCACTTTGGTTATTGTAAGAATAAACGATTAATTGGTACTTTCAAAAAGGCGTTTATCTTGTGCATCTACTGGATCCTTTACATTTTGTAGATATGTAGGCATTTCCGCCTGACAAGGTTGGCATACAAGTTAAACATGTTAGCCATGTGACCTTCTGGATGACTCCCTGCAGCGCTGGGGAATCGGGGACTCTAAGGGTGTTGGGAGGGATACTGGGCAGGAAGACGAACCCCGTGCCTCATCCTGTGGATCCACACACACACACCAGATCCCAGCCATTATCTGGAGCCGCTCCAAATAAATGAAGTTGCATGTGAATGGGAGACCATGCATGGAGACAGGCAAAGGGAAGCCGTGGCAGAAACGAGACGCCTGAATATATTCCCGGCTGAGCGCCATCAGGGAAGAGGCCTCGAACTCGGAAAGCCTCTTTCTTCCCTTCTGCTGCTGCTGCTGCTGCTGCTGCTGAAGGCTCGCTTCGACCCCGTGACCCCTCCGGGGATGGGGCGTTTGGGGCCGGCCAGCTTTCCTTGGGACTACGATCCCCACAATCCCCGGCCCTGGAGAGGAGGCCCCGCCCCCTGGCCCCAAGGGCTGCCGGGAGTTGGAGTGTCC